TATTACACCTCCAGCAGAGATCCGTGTGTTCCGGGTCTATGGCATGGAGTGCAATCGGGGTGCGGTACCAATTCGTTAACAATTTAAACGCCGTTTCTTGTGTTTTGCTGAAGACTGAGCAGTGATGCGTTAAGTAGCATATCTTTTCCCAGTCCCCGTCTGTGAAAGTTTTCCCCAGTGTTTGTTCCCATCTCCCCATGAATTTGGGTTTCTCCGTTGGTGTTTCCCTCTGTAGCATGGAGTAAATGAGTGAGATCCCGTGTGGTTGCGGGTCTGAGTCCATACACATTCTTTCGAATGTGGTAGGGTCACGTTTTTGTGCCGTGCCCCCCGGGAGGGTGTGTACATAGCTCTGTAGCTGTCTGTGTTTAAGTGGTGTAGGAGGGTGGGGGTTGCTCCTTCTAATAGGGTCGGGAGTGTTTTGCATTTCGTGCCTGCCAGGAGGTGGTGTAGTCTGGGTATTTCATGTCGGATTAAGTCCCTGAATGCGTTGGGGTCTAGCCCCGGTGGGAAGCTGTCGTTATGCGTGAGAGGGAGAAGGGGGGACGGGAATGGCGCTAGTCTGCATCTCTTTGCTACTTTCTCCCACGCCCGTAGGGTTGTGGTTGTGTAGGGTGTGCCCTGTCCCCTGCTCCCTCCTCTCCCTAGCCATGGGACGGTGGACAGCGGTATCCCCGCATCAGTTTCCTCTGCCTCTTTCCATCTCTTATGCACCTTCTCTTTTGTCCACTCCATAATTCGTTGGAGGTGACAGGATTTGTAGTACAGGGAAAAGTCTGGTATGGACAGTCCCCCCTGTCCTTGGGCAGCGTCAGTGCTGCTAGTTTGACCCTCGGTCTCTTGCGGTCCCAAACATATTTCCCGGTTTCCTGTCTCAGGGCCTGAAAGAATGATCTGGGGATGGTAATGGGTAGGGCTTGCATGAGGTATAGTAGGCGTGGGAGCAGGTTCATTTTTATAACCTGGACCCTGCCCAGCCAGGATATGTGTGGGTATGCCAATCCGACAGGTCTTTCCGGAACCTGTCTAGTAGGGGGATAAAGTTGTGTCTGAATAGATCAGGTTCCCTCCTCGTCAGCCATGTGCCTAGGTATTGTATTTGGTGTTGTGCCCATTGAAATGTGTGGCTCTGCTTTAAGGGGGAGGCTCTGTGTTCTGGTATACTAACGTTCAAGATGTAGGATTTTGTGAAGTTGATCTTGAGGTTGGATATCTCCCCGAAGGTCCTGAAGGCCTTCAGAATATTCGGGAGCGAGACCTCCGGGTTAGTGATAAAGAAGAGGAGGTCATCGGCGTATGCCGCGACTTTGTGTTGTGTGTCTCCATGTCCAATGCCCCTGATTGCTGCGTCCTGTCGTATGTGCGTCAGAAAAGGTTCGAGTGTCAGCACAAAAAGCAGGGGAGATAAGGGGCACCCCTGCCGCGTGCCGTTGGTGATGGGGAAGTCACTCGTCAGGGCTCCGTTTACTATGATGTGGGCGGTGGGCCCGTCGTACAGTGCCTCGACCCATCTCCGGAAGTGCGGTCCCAGCCCGGTGTGGGCCAGTGTATGGAACATGTATTGCCAGTCGACTCTGTCGAAGGCCTTCTCTGCGTCCGTGGACAGCAGAACGCCCTCGTCCCCGCAATTACGTCTGTGCATGAGCGTCAGTGCCCTGATCGTGTTGTCTCTTGCTTCGCGGCCCATGACGAAGCCGACCTGGTCTGGATGTATTAAAGTGGGGATGTGTGTCTGGAGGCGTGTGGCCAGTATCTTTGCCAACAGTTTGACGTCGCAGTTGATAAGTGAGATGGGCCTGTAGTTCCCACAATGTTCCCTGTCCTTATCTTCCTCCGGATGAGTGCGATGTGTGCGGTCAGTGATTGTTTTGGCAGGTGGTGTCCTTCCCTTAGTGCGTTCAGGGCGTCTAGGAGAGGGGGGTATAGGTGTTCCGCAAACGTTTTATAATACTTTAGTGGGAGCCCGTCCGGACCGGGGCTTTTACCCTGTTTCGTCACTTTAATGGCGTAAGCTAGTTCCTCTATCGAAATTGGTTCATCTAGGCTTTCTGCGGTTTCCTGGTCTATGGATGGGAGGGGGTGGGCTGATAGGTAGGCTTGTACTTTCTCCCGCAGGCTGTCTTTCGCCCTGTCTAGGAGGGGCCGGGGGAGGGCATATAGGTTCGCGTAGTAGTCCCGCGTTATGTCGAGGATTTTAGAGGGTAGGTGGTGTAGGGTGCCCTGCCCGTCCCTCATTTTATCGATGTACGTCCTTTGTCTCTGTTTGGCTAGCATTCTGGCCAGTAGCTTACCGCTTTTATTGCCGTGAAGTAAAAAGAAGGCCTTAAGTCTGGTTACGTCTCTGTGGTGTTTCCTATGTAAGAGGCTCGTCAGGTCCCGCCTGAGTTGTAGTAGTGTCGCCTGGTGTGCCGTTTGTTGGGTGTTTTTGTTGAGTGTTTCCACCTTGTGTATTTCGGCCACTAGGTCAATCAGACGGCTGTCGGTCTGCTTTTTAAGGGTGGAGCCCTGGCGGATGAAGTGTCCTCGTATCACGCTTTTGTGTGCCTCCCATCTAATGGTCGGTGAGGTGTGTTCGGTTGTGTTAGTCTCAAAGTATTCTTTGAGTGTATCTTTAACCTCGGACGTGAAGTCGGTTCTAGTAAGGAGGTATTCGTTAAGCCTCCATTTGTTGTGCCGGGGTCTGTACAGGGGGGACGAGAGTGTTAGGGTTACCGGCGCGTGGTCTGACCATGTCGCCACCCCATGTTCTGCAGCTTTAGTTATTGGTAGATGGTAGTGCGTGGTAAAAAGGTAGTCTAGTCTGGTGTAAGTGTTGTGTATGTGTGAGGAAAAACGTGTAATCCCTCTCATTCGGGTGGTAGGCCCTCCAGCAATCTATCAGCTGGTAGCGAGTTAGAAGGGTCTTGATTGAGTTTAGGTTTTGCGCCGGGACCCACGATCGTCCGGCGGAGGTGTCCCACCACGGATTGAGCGCTACGTTTAGGTCGCCCCCCACTATGAGGATTCCCTCCGTGAAGGGCCTTAGTTTCCTAAGTGTGTGTGCCAGGAATCTGTATTGTCGGGTGTTCGGGGCGTAGAGGTTTGCGAATGTATAGGCCTGTCCTGCTATTGTGCCCTTGAGGAAGAGGAATCTGCCCTCCCTGTCCGTCAGCTGTCCCGTTTCTACAAAAGGTATATTTTTGTGAACTAGAATGGCCGTGCCTCTGGACCTCCCTGCGTGGTAGTCACTGTAGTATCCCGTGGGGTAGTGATGGTTTGTCAATTTGGGCCTGGACCCGTCCTTGAAGTGTGTCTCCTGTATTAATACTATCGAGGCTCGTTTAGCGTGGAAGTCTCTCAGCGCTCCTGAGCGCTTCTCCGGTTTATTGAGACCTCTGGCGTTTATGGAGAGGACAGAGAGACAGTCCGGCACCAGTGCCTTCGTGTCTGTGTGTGAGTGTGGCCGCATCGTTTCGTCCTTGTGTCCCAGTCCGGTCAAGGGATCTGTACGCGTCTGTGTCCTGTCTGTGTCTGTGTCGTAGGTCGGGTGGGGGTTGTAGGAAAAGAAGAAAGAGAAGGAAAGGGGGGGAGGGGAAGGGGGATGAGGGATGTATGGGGTGTGGGTGTGCGTATCCTTGTCACTGTAAGGTGACAGTGAGGTGTCAGCGACGGGGAGCGGTTTAGCCAGCGGCCACCTGTGGTCCGCGGCTGCTGCTCGCCTGTCTGTGTCGCTGGGTCCTTTGGGGCAGTAGAAGGAAGCTAAGGGACTTTGGGTGGAACCAGTCCTCCCTGCGTCCGTGCGTATGTCGGTGGTAGATGTGTACCTGAGTTGCGTTTCTCGGTCCATTTGGTCCGTGTAGTCCCCCTGTCGGCTCTATCTGTCAGGTTCTGGTCGTTATGAACGTCCTCCTCGGTAAAGTTCCTGTGTGTTGGGCTCCGGGTCATAGGTCAAGCCGCCGTCTCAGGCGCCTGTCATGTGCGTATGCAAAGAAGAATTAGATAACGAAACAATTTTGCATTTAAACTTAATAAACCTTTCTGAGGATTAAACTTTAAACTGTGAACTTGGTTGTGGCATGCAGCTGCCTGCTTTATAACCCGATTGTTTTCCTGGCTGTGTACCTAACCTTTGCTCCCGTATCCCCCCCTCTCTGGCACCTGTGTCATAGCCACAGTTCGGGTCCCTCTGCCCCTCCAGGGATGGTTCGGGTCGTCCCCTACCGGCCCTCCTCTCATGTGCCCCTCTCTCCCTTTTCAGCGTGTCCCCCCCACCCGTCGTCCGTGTATGAGTGGGCCCCCCCGGTGGGGCCCGCCCCCTGCTCGGTTGGGTCATCACAGGGCGGTCAGGGCCCCAGCGGCGGGCCCCAGTCCTAGAGGAGCTCTGGAGTTTACACCCCCCATTCCCTTCTGCCCCCTCCCCCTCGGGTCAGCTTTAGTGAATGCATCTAGGTTGCATTCCCTCGCTGCCCCCCTGGGGTTGGTCCCTACTTGATGGTTTCGGTCCCTAGGTGTGGCCCCCTCCAGCTGGCTACCCCCCCGGTACCCTCCCATGGTGTCGAGCTGTGTGTAGCCCGTCTGTTGTACCATGGATGTTAACTCGTTTGCGTGCTCGGGGGAGAGTAGCTTCCCCTGTGGGATAGGCTCGTCTATGGCAGTGTCTAGCTGAGCAGGTAGCTTCACCCGCTGTCTGCCTGCGGTACCGTCCCCTGATGGTGCTCCACTTGCGCTTCCCCAGTGCCTTCTCCCCCCAGGGTGCGTGAGCTGGGTAGGTGCCCCCCCGGTGTGCCCGTCCCCCCAACTCACAGCTCGATGTGGTTTATGAGAACAGTCCCATTACCCCCAGTATCCATAAGGAGGATGGTACCCCTATTTAAGGGTGAGTCCCGGTTGGTGGTACTTGCGGTTATGTGCTGCAGCTGCCAGCGGTCGTCTCTTATGCCGCCGTCCCCGAGGGCCGAGTGGCCTGTTGTCGGGTCCCTCTGCTTCTGTGTTGCTGTGGCTGGAGCCCCTGGTTCAGCGGTGGCGTCGTGTAGAAAGCGAGGGGGTCCGGCCATGTCATGGTGATGGGTGGGAGCCGCAGCTCTGCGGCAAGGTCGCTCAGGTCCTCCGGGTGTCGGACAGTAAAGGGCCCCTTCGAGATGATGGCCTGTATCCCGGTCGGGAAGGTCCACCGGTATCTGATCCTGTTGCTTTGGAGGATTCTCGTGAGGGGCTTCATCGCCCGTCGGTAAGCCAGGGTAGCCGGGGAAAGATCTGGGTATAGTTGGAGTTCCGCGCCATTCAGCAGCACCTTTTCTGTGCTTCGTGCTTTCTGGAGGATGTCCTCCTTTAGGCGGAAGCAGGCCAGGCAACAGACAGCGTCCCTTGGGGGAGCCTCCGGAGGGCCCCTCGGTCTTAGTGCGCGGTGGGCTCTAATAAACTCAATTGCGGTGGAAACTGGGTGGCCCAGGAGCTTGTTAAATAGTTCTTTAAGGGTGTCTGCTATTGGCGTTGTTTGGTCTAGGTCTTCTGGGATACCGCGCACCCGTATGTTTTGGCGCCTGCCACGATTATCCAGATCCTCCATGTGCAGGGCCATTTGTCTAATTTGCATTGTGTGGTGGTGTATCGCGTCTGTGTTCGCAGACTGAGCGGAGGACAAATGGTCGGTGTCCGCTTCTAATTGGGACACTTTGGTGTGGAGGCCCTGGATGTCCTCCCGGAGGGAGTGTAATTCTGCGGTGATGGAGGCTCTCAGCTCTGAATTAGCCTCTTTCAGGTCCTGTCTTGTAGGCAGGGCCCGGATTAATTGAACCCAGTCCGGTTGAGGGTCCGGAGGGATCTGGGCCTGTAGCATCTGGCGGCTGCCTCGTGGCGACGCTGGGCGGGAAACGTCGGCGGTTTCCGAGGCTGTGCAGGCCCGTGCGGCCGCATCTGTGGGAGTCACGAGGAATTGCCATAGTGAAGCGGCAGCTGTGCCCTTCAGCGTGTCCGTCGGCTTGGTGGTGTTCGGTGCCCGGTGGGTTTTACCCATTTCTGCCCGAGGTGTAGGTGCTACGAGGAGGGTTTGTGCTTGGCCTGCAGGGGAGCTCCGGGTTTACGCCGCCATCATTCTCGGCTTCCAAGCCACGCCCCCTCCTGCTCCTTTCTACTTCTTGCTGCCCCTTCCTACTCTTTGTTGACCCCTCCTGCTCCTTGCTGACCCTTCCTGCTCCTTGCAGACCTTTCTTACACCTTGCTGCCCCTTTCTGCTCCTTGCTGCCACTTCCTAATCCTTGCTGACCCCTCCTACTCCTTGCTGACATTTTCTGCTCCTTGCTGCCCCTCCTGTTTTTTTCTGACCCCTCATGCTTCTTTCTGACCCCTCCTGCTCTTTGCTGACCTTTCCTGCTTCTTACTGACCCCTCCTGCTCCTTGCTGAACTCACAGCTTGATGTGACCTTTCCTGCTCCTTGCTGCCCCTTACTGCTCCTTGCTGAACCTTTCTGCTTCTTGCTGACCCTTCCTACTCCTTGCTGACCCCTCCTGCTCCTTTCTGCCCCTTCCTACTCCCTGCTTGCCCCTCCTGCTCCTTGCTGCCACTTCTAAAATATACATCCAATCTCCATAAGATATACATATTATTAATCAGCACACTTCAAATATAAACATATCCAAAATTCGACAATTCTTCTCCTTGCTGCCCCCTCCTGCTCCTTGCTGCCCCCTCTTGCTTCTTTCTGACGCCTCTTGCTCCTTGCTGACCTTTCCTGCTCCTTGTAGACCCCTCCTGCTCCTTGCACTTATAATGAAATCATATAGATGCATTATATATGTATAATATATTATAAAATGATTTAATTATTTTATAATATATTACACATATATAATATAGACACTCCTCACTTATCGACCGTATTCCCTTCCTATGACCTTGTCGTAGAACAAATCGGTTGGTAAGTGAGGAGTTAAGGGATTCCCTGCTCTGGGCCATTTGTCTATGTTCAGGGAAATTTCCCCAACATAGATTTGAGGAATTCCCTGCTCTGGTGCGTTCGTCTATGTTCGGGTACGTTTTCCCAAACATATACATACGCAGCAGAGCAGGGAATCCCCATGACGGCTCGCACTAACGCCTGGTCGTAAGTGCGAGCCGTGGTAAACCAGGTAGGTCGCTAAATGATAAATGATGTATACGTATAATATTTTTATTTTATTATTTTTTTAGAAGCCTGGGGGACTGCCTGACAGCTCAGACAGTCCCCCTGCTGACAGCTTCTAGGGTCCTATTGCGGTGATGTGATCATGGTGATCACATGGCCATGGAGCGCCGTAGTGGCCGGAGCTGCTGTAGGGGGACAGCTGGGGTCTCTGGCAGTCCTCCCCGACCGTGATTGACGCAGACACACACACATATATATGTCGCGGACCTCCTTAACAACCGTTTTTTGTTGGACGTACCTAGTTTGTCCTCAGTCGTTAAGGGAAATTATACGTAGATTTTATATATATATATATATATATATATAAAATTTAATTCTAAGTGTATTTCGATTTAAATATATATATATATTTATATCAAAATACAGTGAGAATAAAATTATATTTATATACATAATTTTTTAAAATTATTTTTACAGTTTATTTTTAATTATTTGTCATAATATATACATAATATATAAAATTTTATATAAAATTATAATTTTACATTAATATACACACACACGCATTATATATAGATATGATATAATATATACACACACACACACACATTTCTTTAACTTTTATTAACTTTATTTTAACTTTTCCACCAGCTCTTTTAGAGCAGTCACATGGCCCCTGGGGGTCCTAAATTGAAGAGGGAGGACCGATCGCCGGCGGGGGAACGCGGCGATCGGTAAATACATGGGGAAGGGGTTAATTTTTTTAAATTCAGTTTTGTGTTTGTTTTTTGAAAGTTACTTTTTTTTTTTTTTTAAACTGTTACTGAGTGCCTCGACCCCTCAAGGCCCTCAGTAAACATTAGAGCCTGCGGATGGCTTCAGATGCTCTACTCACACTGCCACACGCAGCAAACCCGGAAGTGACCAGGGGGGGGGGGAGGGCGATCACTCGGGTGCCCGGCAGGGTAGGGGGGGTATTACATGATGCCTCAATATCGAGGCATCTTGTAATACCATCAGAGCGTCTGGAAGCGATCACGATTGCTTCCAGCGCTCAAAATAGCCAAAGGGGTTAATGTAGTGTGTATAGGTGGTGCCTATAGGGGATCTAGTGTGTGTGGAGAACCCAGAGTGTGCATAGCAGATTTAGTGTGTGTGTGTGTGTGTGTATAGAGGATTCAGAGTGTGTATAGGGATTCTAGTGTGTGGGTGTGTAGAGGATCCATAGTTATGTATGGGATCTAGGGTGTATATATAAGGGATGTAGTGTGTGTTTCTAGAATGTAATGTGTGTAGGTGTGCACTGTGTGTGTGTAAAAGGTGCAGTGCATGAAGGGTGCAGGATGTCTGAGGCATGCAGGGTGTGTGTTTGAGGGGTGCTGTGTGTGTGAGAGAGAGGGGTGTAGTGTGATGTTTGGTGTGTAGTGTGTGCATGTGAGGGGTGCAGTTTGATGTTTGGGGTTTAGTGTGTGTTTGTGTGGGGTAAAACTAAAAAATATGTATGTGCCGGTATTTGGCCGGTATGCCCGATGGCCAGTCCGGGCCTGCCTTGAACGGGTACAAGAAGAACTGGGTGACAAAGGCGACTTCGGAATAGTGTCCTCAGGTAGTCAAATTATTATTATTTATATAGCGCCATCATCTGCCAATACCCCTTGCACAAATCAATCATGGTGAGGTAATGGCCCCGAGCCATCCCATCGAGAAGCTCATCGTTCTGAGGCATGATGTAGGCGTCGGATACAGTCTTAAATAAAAGATAAAAGGTTTCTAGCTGTTACAATGTCCAAATATGAAAGGCAGCTTTTCCCCCAAACAACAGTCTCTCTTGTCTGGTCATTGATGTGGAGTAGAGGAGATGAAAAATTGGGAGAAGCGCCTTGGAGGGGTCGTCAAATTCCAAGTGGCATGTAGTGGGAAAAGAGTGGAAAAATATATGGTGCAGTATGTCAAAGACCGGAGGAAATACAGCTACAGTGTAGGGGGGCGATCTCTCTGCTCTAGACGTAGCACCAGTGCAATGCCCGCTTATGGATATAATTATGAAATCTTGGTCAGACCAAATCAGGTAGCCTAGACACAAGAGCAAAAAAACAGTGCAATATGATGAGTTAAGCAGTGAATGCAGTGTTTTACTCCAGGTACTGTATATAACTATTTCTACTGATGAGTTAAGCAGTGAATGCAGTGTTTTACTCCAGGTACTGTATATAACTATTTCTACTGATGAGTTGAGCAGTGAATGCAGTGTTTTACTCCAGGTACTGTATATAACTATTTCTACTGATGAGTTGAGCAGAGAATGCAGTGTTTTACTCCAGGTACTGTATATAACTATTTCTACTGATGAGTTGAGCAGTGAATGCAGTGTTTTACTCCAGGTACTGTATATAACTATTTCTACTGATGAGTTGAGCAGTGAATGCAGTGTTTTACTCCAGGTACTGTATTTAACTTTCTATTGATGAGTTGAGCAGTGAATGCAGTGTTTTACTCCAGGTACTGTATATAACTATTTCTACTGATGAGTTGAGCAGTGAATGCAGTGTTTTACTCCAGGTACTGTATATAACTATTTCTACTGATGAGTTGAGCAGTGAATGCAGTGTTTTACTCCAGGTACTGTATATAACTATTTCTACTGATGAGTTGAGCAGTGAATGCAGTGTTTTACTCCAGGTACTGTATATAACTATTTCTACTGATGAGTGGAGCAGTGAATGCAGTGTTTTACTCCAGGTACTGTATATAACTATTTCTACTGATGAGTTGAGCAGTGAATGCAGTGTTTTACTCCAGGTACTGTATATAACTATTTCTATTGATGAGTGGAGCAGTGAATGCAGTGTTTTACTCCAGGTACTGTATATAAATTTCTACTGATGAGTTGAGCAGTGAATGCAGTGTTTTACTCCAGGTACTGTATATAACTATTTCTACTGATGAGTGGAGCAGTGAATGCAGTGTTTTACTCCAGGTACTGTATATAACTATCTTCTACTGATGAGTGGAGCAGTGAATGCAGTGTTTTACTCCAGGTACTGTATATAACTATTTCTATTGATGAGTTGAGCAGTGAATGCAGTGTTTTACTCCAGGTACTGTATATAACTATTTCTACTGATGAGTTGAGCAGAGAATGCAGTGTTTTACTCCAGGTACTGTATATAACTATTTCTACTGAGGAGTTGAGCAGTGAATGCAGTGTTTTACTCCAGGTACTGTATATAACTATTTCTACTGATGAGTTGAGCAGTGAATGCAGTGTTTTACTCCAGGTACTGTATATAACTATTTCTACTGATGAGTGGAGCAGTGAATGCAGTGTTTTACTCCAGGTACTGTATATAACTATTTCTACTGATGAGTTGAGCAGTGAATGCAGTGTTTTACTCCAGGTACTGTATATAACTATTTCTACTGATGAGATGAGTTGAGCAGTGAATGCAGTGTTTTACTCCAGGTACTGTATATAACTATTTCTACTGATGAGTTGAGCAGTGAATGCAGTGTTTTACTCCAGGTACTGTATATAACTATTTCTACTGATGAGTGGAGCAGTGAATGCAGTGTTTTACTCCAGGTACTGTATATAACTATTTCTATTGATGAGTTGAGCAGTGAATGCAGTGTTTTACTCCAGGTACTGTATATAACTATTTGTATATAACTATTTCTACTGATGAGTTGAGCAGTGAATGCAGTGTTTTACTCCAGGTACTGTATATAACTATTTCTACTGATGAGTTGAGCAGTGAATGCAGTGTTTTACTCCAGGTACTGTATATAACTATTTCTACTGATGAGTGGAGCAGTGAATGCAGTGTTTTACTCCAGGTACTGTATATAACTATTTCTATTGATGAGTTGAGCAGTGAATGCAGTGTTTTACTCCAGGTACTGTATATAACTATTTCTACTGATGAGTTGAGCAGAGAATGCAGTGTTTTACTCCAGGTACTGTATATAACTATTTCTACTGAGGAGTTGAGCAGTGAATGCAGTGTTTTACTCCAGGTACTGTATATAACTATTTCTACTGATGAGTTGAGCAGTGAATGCAGTGTTTTACTCCAGGTACTGTATTTAACTTTCTATTGATGAGTTGAGCAGTGAATGCAGTGTTTTACTCCAGGTACTGTATATAACTATTTCTACTGATGAGTTGAGCAGTGAATGCAGTGTTTTACTCCAGGTACTGTATATAACTATTTCTACTGATGAGTTGAGCAGTGAATGCAGTGTTTTACTCCAGGTACTGTATATAACTATTTCTATTGAGGAGTTGAGCAGTGAATGCAGTGTTTTACTCCAGGTACTGTATATAACTATTTCTACTGATGAGTTGAGCAGTGAATGCAGTGTTTTACTCCAGGTACTGTATATAACTATTTCTACTGATGAGTTGAGCAGTGAATGCAGTGTTTTACTCCAGGTACTGTATATAACTATTTCTACTGATGAGTGGAGTTGAGCAGTGAATGCAGTGTTTTACTCCAGGTACTGTATATAACTATTTCTACTGATGAGTGAGTTGCAGCAGTGAATGCAGTGTTTTACTCCAGGTACTGTATATAACTATTTCTACTGATGAGTTGAGCAGTGAATGCAGTGTTTTACTCCAGGTACTGTATATAACTATTTCTACTGATGAGTTGAGCAGTGAATGCAGTGTTTTACTCCAGGTACTGTATATAACTATTTCTACTGATGAGTTGAGCAGTGAATGCAGTGTTTTACTCCAGGTACTGTATATAACTATTTCTACTGAGGAGTGGAGCAGTGAATGCAGTGTTTTACTCCAGGTACTGTATATAACTTTCTATTGATGAGTTGAGCAGTGAATGCAGTGTTTTACTCCAGGTACTGTATATAACTATTTCTACTGAGGAGTTGAGCAGTGAATGCAGTGTTTTACTCCAGGTACTGTATATAACTTTCTATTGAGGAGTTGAGCAGTGAATGCAGTGTTTTACTCCAGGTACTGTATATAACTATTTCTATTGATGAGTTGAGCAGTGAATGCAGTGTTTTACTCCAGGTACTGTATATAACTATTTCTACTGATGAGTTGAGCAGTGAATGCAGTGTTTTACTCCAGGTACTGTATATAACTATTTCTACTGATGAGTTGAGCAGTGAATGCAGTGTTTTACTCCAGGTACTGTATATAACTTTCTATTGAGGAGTTGAGCAGTGAATGCAGTGTTTCACCGGGTACTGTATATAACTGGGACCCACCTCAGCGGTATCTACTGATTCACCATGCAGTATTTAACTAGGTTCTGCTGTACATTATACAATATCAGGATCCATCCAAGCGCACAGAGGTAGTATGAGACTGCAAAGCACTAGCTAGCAAACACAAGGATTCCTTTGTTTATTATGGAGTTTATACACTAAAAAAAAAAGAAAAAAAAAAAAAAGTAATAAATACATAAAAAGGGCAATAAGTGAAGAGCAGGCAGTAAAAAGCAACCAATTCTCACATTTTACTTTCATAAAACACGATGCTTTGTATAAGCACCCCTCTAAACACATTACACAGGCTGTATTCCTAGGGGCACATCACATAAGGCACATGGGAACAGTGTCACCAACATGTGACATTACAAGGAGGGTGAATAGCAACTTCAGGGTTTACCTGTCAGCAATGGGTCAGGGACACGAGCTTCCTTGGCACAGGTACAATGTTTGCCACCACTGGGAGACCCAAAAGAGAATAAGGCACATGAATATATAGTCTCCTGCAATAGAGAGCAGGAAATTGGGGCAGTAGAGGGGTCATTTCACAGCCATTGCTTTGTCGTGGAAAGGGCTGGCAGAAAGACTCACACCCCACCACAGGAAGTGGAGAACTAATCACCCCCACCCCACAAAAATAAAAACCCTGTTACAAGGCATAGGAACGCCATTCAATAAACACTGGTAAAAAGGAGATTAAAAAATACTTCATATAATGATCACGCCCAGCGTCTGCTAATAGAGATACATACATGTGCATTGGATATAGGGTGGAGTCCGGTAATTAATGCTACATTTAGTGTTTTGGAGTAAAGCTGTGAAACCTCCGGACCTGGTCTGAACAGGGATCACCAGGAAAACTCCCAGGAACATGGTCAGTTGTACCGCGAGCAGCGTACCATTTTCTTTTCTTCTTCATGGACATAGCCTTAGACAAAGCTTAACCCAACAGCCAGAAACATGCTGAGATACATCTACCTCCAACGGAACATGACAGATTCTTTCCTATCGAAATATCCACTCTAATCCCAACAATATGAGGAATCTGACCAGTCCTGTTCGCTTGGATAATGCTAGATTAATCTGCATAAAATACAAGAATTCCTTAAAACTACGGAGTGTTAATGACCAAGTCCAGGACTAGGCAGGTGTGGAGCTAGTTACGTCACAGTCAGGCCTGTATCACATGACATCAACAAAGAACTCGCTGGGATTGCCCATGGCCATGTGAAAGGACTGGCGGCTGGCAGTTAGCTCAGGGGGAACTGATGCAAGGTCACGTACCAGAGGCTGACCCCCAGGAGGAACAGAGGAAGGTGGCGGAAGAGGGGGTGGTGGCATCATCATGAGCATCATTGGATTATAGGAGAGGGGGAGACCAGGAGCAGGGTAGGAGTGAAGTGATGGTGGATGATGGTGAGGAGAAGGTTGAGGGCGAGAGGAAGCAGAGCGGTCACTGGCGGGTCCACTATTTCCTCCTGCCCCTCGTCTCAGGCTGCTGCGGGTTGAATATTCAGATTCGCTTCCAGAACCAGATTTAGACTCTGCTCCGCCACCAGTGCCAGGACGATCCTCCTTCTGTGCACCATGGCCCCCATCACTGCGTGTGGAGCCACTGCTTCTACTACCTGTACAGCAAAAAGGTAAAAATAATTTTTTTTTAAAAAGTTACACTTTTGGGACAAAAAAACCCAAACCATTAGGTGCCTTTTTTGCACATCCC